TTTATTAATTGATGATAATGGAATGGTAGCCCCGCCTACACTAACGGTACACGCTGGCGGGGCACCAGTGAGACATGATGATGACCAGTGAGAATAAAAAGGCAGCTCAGTAAGCTCATCGTGATGGATACGCTTGGAATTTAACATGATAGTTTCCAGGGAGGGGCGGCCACGTGAAGGTCGCCTTGTACCTACAATATAGAGGGGGAGGGAGATTGTTAGTAATGCAAACTACCAGTCGCATTGCTAGCAATGTACTCAATGTACAGTCAGGTCGACCTCCCCGTGGTCCCCCCTAGAAACCATCGTGCTGAATTCCAAGTGTATTCATCACAATGGGTTAACTGACCTGCATTTTCACCCTCATCCAGTATCGCAGGCGGGGTTACCATTCTATTATCATCCATAAAAAAAGACCCTACAATAAAATATACTCTATATTGCTACTAATAGATCTGGTAGTCCGCATTACTCACAGTCCCTCTCCCCCCGACTGTCGCAGGTTCGATTGCCCAGAAATACACAAAAATGTAAATTCTTTTTATCAATTATTTTATATCCTTACCACAAGCTTCGCTTAGTTTAGGATTACATGTCGCTTTGTAATAAATAAATAAACTAGTAAGAATTAAGTATCGTATGTGTTCAGTTAGGATACATCCTGCCCGTGTATCAAACTTCACTCTAATCTGTTCAGCCGTCTAAGCGTGATTCAGTAATAAACATCCAAACCTCTTAGAAACTTTCACATTTGTTATTAATGTTATGTAATGTTATTATTTATTTATTTAACTTTTTATTGCATCAAAATTATAAAAGTATGCATTGTAAATTAAAAATTTCAAGTGAAATACAGAAACCTAAAATACAGATCAAAAAGGTACAAAACGCGGTCTTATCGCTAGGGCAATCACTTACCGACAACCTATCTATTTAAAAATAAAATCGGTCAAGTTCAAGTTGCATTCGCACGCCAAAGGTTCCTTACATAAAATAATCTATAAATAGGTTTCTGTTTTCTTTGGATAACATTTTATTTGAATATGTAGATATGGGATATATATATATATATATATATATATATATATATATATATATATATATATATATATATATATATGTATATATATATATCATAATTCGGAATGCCTTATTTGATAATTAAGTTCACAATAATCCTTTTTTTAAATTTTTAGTTATAATAATTTAAACAGACATTGGGGTCGATTCTGTTGCGTCATTTCTTTGTTTTGTGTGAACTGTTTTGAATTGATTCGAGTCAATTGTTCTAAGTTCTTTTATAAGTCACGATGGTTTCCGGCGGGGGGGGGGGGGGGCACGTGCACGTGGAGGAGGATATTGGGTTGAGGTTGGGAATATTGCTAGCGATAGGACTCTTAATCTCCATTATAAACAATCCCTTCCCCTCAGGGGCTACCGTCTTAGTCCTCATTACCAACGACACCTGCTCCTTCTCCGGCTGTTGTTAGTGACTGTATAAGTTGTGCTTCTACTGATATTCGTGCTCTTTTTATAGTTTTGTGAAGAATTAAGTTATGGTGAGTGTATAGGCAATGGTCATGAATTCATCTCAAAGGACCACGAGTTTTTCTGTCGCACATTGCCAACACGAATAACCTACTTACTCATAGGTACCTACTGCGGAAGTATCCGCTTTATTAGCATTATTGCATGTGATTCATAAAGAAGATTGTTTGTTAGAAAAAAAAAATTATTACATTTGTTTTTCATTGTCTTTGGACGTTGGACAAACAGGTTTAATATCTAGCTAATACAAAGTAAACATTTTCCGATTTGACGTTTCACAAAAATAGGTAACTATCGTACTTATATTCGGTTCAGGGCTGGTCTACATTTTATACACGTTTTTGTTTTATAAATTATGAGTTTATTTTTAATTATAAGTACAAGGTCTCTATTTTTTTATAAAAAAAAATAATTAATGTAGCTTTTTGTAGGCGAAAGAATTCTTAAAATCGGTTATGTATTTTTTTTTAGTTTATCCACTACAAACAAAAGAAATAAATCTTCCCTCTTTAAAATATTAGTTTAGAAATACGAGAACTATGTATACATACATGAATGCGATATACCGCGTGCACGAGCTACAAGCAGCTCTGTAAGTTGAATTGGCAAGGAAGGATAGACGAGCTTTTTAGGCCTCTACATCTAACCACAGGACATGTTATACCAATACCTAAATCACAGATAATATAATACTATACTAGTACCTAAATGAAGGTTTTTCTGCCCATCACAGAGGGCGCGCGGTTGGCGTGGTGTCTGTCGTTGCCTGTAGCTCGTCGTAGGCAATAATACCCACCATGTGTGAAATAATCTCGAATCGCAGCCGGTCTCTTTAATTGGCATACAAAAGAGTGTTATTGTTGCCTTGCGACGTACGTCGTCGACTGGATCGTAGCTAATAGAATATTCCGAATGATCGCATTGAACTCAAAAAAACGCTGCCAGTATCTACTATTCCTTCACTCTGAACGAGCCCTTGTTGATAATAATCTCAATTCTCATTACAAAACATCGTTTCGAAATGTTCTTTTAGTTGTCTCATTCGTACCTGCCAGAATTACTATTGATCACTATTGACTTACATATATTAAAATTATTGACTGGAAATTGAAAAAATGTGTTCGCTTTTGCCATTCCTTTACTTTTTAAACAGTCGTGTTTTCTCATGTAGAGTTATTGCGAATGCCGGTTTCAGCTCTGCATGAGATCACATACCCTGGTACGATAAAATTGTGGTGAGACTGTTTTGTTCTTCGTGGGATGTTTTTGCTGATATCTATAGGTTTTCCTTCGTCTACAGTGTATGATACTTGTACCGGGTCGGGTCGGACTAGTACATGAACATGTCATTGATCTCGCTAAATCTCATCCGTTACCTGATACGCATACTATCTGTTTTGCAATTCTAATATCGTAATATAATACTAAAATTCATAAATATAAATAATGTAATTATATTAAAAAAAATATATATTAAAAAAGAAGAAAAAAGAACTTACAAAAATTTTAGGCCACAGTAACAAACGCAGGCCGTGCGCCTGGCGTTCCACGCTCTTCCCTCTATTGAGATGGTGCTGGTAGCAGCCAACCTAGCAGCCACGAGCGTTGCACTTCACCTGGAAGAAAAACAGAAAGATACACACATATTCAAAGTATCGAATATATATATATATATATATATATATATATATATATATATATATATATATATATATATATATATATATATATACATATTAATAAGCAAATATAGCTTTATTGTATTACAAAAACAAAATTAGAATAAAACATTGTATATTAAACATAAAACAATAATTATTCATATTCATTTACTCTTTTTACTTAATGCATACTGTCATAATAAAAACAACATAAACATCTATCCATCTGTAAATATATAACATAATAATTTGTTACGTACCTTATAAGAATCTAAAAACTTAAAAATAACATTGAATCTATAAAGGAAAAACCGTTCAAACACTTTTACTTTTAGTACGAGTATCTTAATAAGGAAGCATACATGGCTCTCAGATTTAAAGAAACAGTATTCCCTAAAAAATCACCATCACCTATTACAGTAAAAATTCTGTGCCAATTTGTTCTATATATCGAGGTACAGTATAAACAAGATGTTTTATTCGAATTGGAAAAAAGTTTTATCAAATAATAATTGTTTGTGATGTTGAATTGTTAGACGTAACAAAGAATGGCCGCGACTATAGTCCTGATGGAATAATAAGAGGTATGTGTTGACTATATGATCGTACTGGTTGGTAGTTAGTGAATGTAACACCCGACATGGCGACATTCATCGAGTAGACTGGAAGCAGCATCCGACGCGGTAGGGGCGACTCGAGAATTACATACTCGTCTTCTCCTCCAACCATCGTAATATTGCTCTCTTCGTTACCTTGTGTTGTCCTACTGCCGAAGGATGGCGCAATATTTTCTATTTTGTTTCATCTCTAAGTGTGACACTGGGATCGATTCTGAGGTACTTACCGTTTCTCTAAAACTATCTTAACAATTTAAATTTCAATTGTTTGGTATCACGGCGAAATCTTTAGTGTAGCGACCAATATTAACTAATTTTTTAATGGATTTAATTATAAATTATCATAAATTTAGTTTATATGGTCCATAAACCAGTAATTTTGCAAACGTTATTATCAAATTAAAATATTGAGTTAAGAAATAAACTTAGAGAAACGGCACCTTGGAATTGGCTCTATCATCTGATGATACACAAGACGCAGGTGCAGTTGTTCAGTGTCGAATAGTAACTTCAGCCGAGCGATACTAGCGATTACATTTAAACCATTTAATAATTGGTAGATACCTAATTTTTACTTGTTTTGTAGCAGGCTTAGAAGAGCATGTAAAGTTATCGTCTGATAATCCTACGTGGCTTATTAATACATCGAAGGCACCTAGAAATTGTTAAGAGGTTCCACCCTCACACTTGAATATCTATTTATGGTTATCACTTCCCATTAGCTGAGCTATCAGCGTGCCTGCCTCGCCAAGTAGTTTACTTGATCTCTCAAAAGTTACTCGTACACTGATCATGGTCACGGAGCGGAGTACAGGCAGATAAACTACCCACACCTGCATTGCACATGAAATCCAAGTTGTCGTGATTCGCATCGTATTGACTTCTGATTTACGTGATTAATCTAGGGGTCACCAAATTTACTGCTATGTTGATACTGATAACCTCTTAACCGTGCGAAGGTCGTATCGGACACTGTTTATAAATACAATCCGACGACATTCAAAATAAAAAAATAAATGGCGACTAGTGCACAATTGTAAGTTAGGTATAAACCTGGACTTCGTTCGGAGCGATACGTCGCCAACGTCGAGAAAAGTAGGCACTCGATGACCAGCAGGAAGAGTAATAGAGCGACCTTGTTCGTCCTTGCGGCTCGCTCGCGGCGCGATAACCCGAGGCCGACCGGGTCTCGTGCTGTCGTCGAAGCGTGTCATAGTCCGATTCGGTTCAGGCCGCGACCCCGCTATCGCGCCCTTTTATCCGCACGTCTGACCACTGCTGCACCACTCGGCTCGTGCACTTTACGCGTTCACCACTAGCCCGCTCGTTCTTGACGGCTTCTCTCCACTCTCGTCTTGAATATTACTCACAGTACTAGTCCTCAAGAATATTCATGCAAACCTGTAACAATTAGGCACGTGAAGTATTTTTGGAATAGTGTCTGAGGTGGTGACCTATCAGGTGAATAGACTACATAGTGGAAAGTTTATTGTCAGTTAGTTCATTTCGTCGATTGTGCAACACTTTGTTTTTATTACAGATAGTGGAATAGTAGCAACTCGAAGATGCCCAGTGCAACGGTGAACGGGTTTCAACGAGGCAGCAAGGACGCAGGAGACGTGGTGATAACGGGCCTGTCGGGCCGCCTGCCGGAGTCCGACACCATCGACGAGTTCGCGCAGCAGCTCTTCGACGGCGTCGATCTCGTCACTGCTGACGACAGGCGCTGGACGCCAGGTTACTATAATAGGCTACCTACTTCCAATTTGTAAATTAGTAGGTATCCGTCTACAATGACCTCTCTGGTGATTTGCGGTGATAGAGTTGGAATTACAGTGTCATCGCTCCTTTTATCTCCCGACTTTTCAATACGCGATTTTTCAGTAGTCCAGTTTATATATACACATATACACGTATTTAAATGTGAATTTGATACCTAACACCGCATCATAAACGAGAATTGAAAAATGGCTTTGTACATTTTTCAAGAAAACATGCTTTTTAAAATAATGTCATTCTATAAATATAGGATACCTATAGTACATAAATATTTTAAAATTTTAAATAATGAACAATATTGTTCGTACATCCTATTGAAAATGATATTTGAAACATCACATTCAGCCTATAAAGTGGTGGGCGCAGCGTGACAGTAGTATTTATCGCGAATCCTTCCTATGAATGAATGCGCAGACCTTTCACTGTTACTTAATAGATTCATGAACGCTATCAGTGATGTGCTCTACGTAGAGTGGAGCGCCGCCGTAGGTACGTATCGGGTGGCGTGATGCGCACTCACAGCGCGTTGTTATTCTGCGGCATTATTGCGTAGGTATCAGCTGCTAGCTGCCGCATCACTTCCCAAACTTGCACACATGACATTGGACTCTATTTCGTGATTGTTTAACAAAATTGCCTACATGTTTTTTCATTTTACTGAACAAAAATTTAAATGTACCCAGTTTTAACTGAAATCTATTAAGTACTTTATTTCATACTGGCTGTAAAAAGTAGACATCAAAATGAAATTTTAAAGATAGGTAGACAGGGTATTTCTGAATCAAAATTGTCGTCCTACTTTCCGCTGCTCGTTTACTCTCTCTATTCTACTCTAATATGGGTGGCGTAGTACATACAAATCACTCAATGCAGTACAGGAAAATTGCTAATAAAATTTTCGACTTCCGTCATTGACGTCACAACGCAACGTACTCAACAGGTGATGCCATAATAACATACAAATATTTGTTAATTTGCATCGATAGCGTGAGCCTAAGTTTAAATATTGTTTCAAGTCATTAGCCTTGAACTTTCTGATGTTTATTACGCGAAATGACAAAAATATTTCAGAAAATACTAAAAAGATGTAAAAATACCTATCTAGTTTACTTCAAATCAATTGCGTGTAAACTATATAATTAGGTAGGTACCTATCATTTTATCTATATTTGTAGTTGTAATGTGTCAGGTTGTTATCGTTTTTTATTTAACAATTTTTTTATTGAATCTAATTATTGTCTATGTTATAAATATACACAAAAAATAGAGGTCAGTGAACTTCTGATTTGCTCTACTTATGACTTATCCTTGTGCGATCAACGTCCGACATACCTACATACTGACGCCACGCCTTCGCTTCGCGAATTTCGAAGGATGCCGTAATGTATGAGCAATTGAGCAGATTGTCTAGTTAGGTGTAAAAGCGTACAGTTTATTTCTACATATTAACCGCTCGATGGCAAAGTTTGAAAATCCAGTAGGATATGGGCGTATATCTATCTATCTATATACGCATTTTATTCTTTACGTACCTACACCTGAATAACATTTCTTTATACATCGGTCTTTTTTTCACAGGTCTTCATGGATTACCAGAGCGCAATGGAAAACTTAAAGACTTGTCTCATTTCGATGCCACATTCTTCGGTGTACACGCGAAACAAGCACATCTCATGGACCCGCAGCTGCGCTTGCTGCTCGAGGTGACGTACGAGGCGATCGTGGACGCCGGATACAACCCGGTGGAGCTGCGCGGTAGCCGCACCGGCGTCTACGTCGGCGTCTCCAACTCGGAAACCGACGAGATGTGGACTCTCGACCCCGACAAGATCAACGGCTACGCCCTCACCGGCTGCTGTCGCGCTATGTTCCCCAACCGCATATCGTACACTTTCGACTTCAAGGGCCCGTCGTACGCGATCGACACCGCCTGCTCCAGTTCCATGTTTGCCCTCGCACAGGCCGTGGACGCTATAAAAGCGGGACACTGCGACGCGGCGATCGTCGCCGGTGCTAATCTTTGTCTAAAGCCTGGAAATTCCCTTAACTTCCACCGACTGAGTATGCTGTCTCCGGAGGGGCGGTGCGCGGCTTTCGACGCGGAGGGCCGCGGGTACGTGCGCTCGGAGGCGACGGTGGCGGTGCTGCTGCAGCGGCGCGCGCAGGCGCGGCGCGTGTACGCCGCCGTGCGCGGCGCGCGCATGAACACGGACGGCCACAAGGAGCAGGGCATCACCTACCCCGCCGGCGACATGCAGCGCCAGCTCGCCGCCGACACCTTCCGACAGGCGGGCCTCCGGCCGCAGGACGTCGTCTACGTCGAAGCTCACGGCACCGGCACCAAGGTTCGTTGGATTAGTAGCCACAACTTGGGATTTTATATTAATAATTATTTTTCAATTACAATTCTTTTATATCACCTTAGTGTGGCAAACAATCTTACGGCCTACCTGATAGTAAGCAGTAACCAGGGACATTACACGCGCGTTGCCGACCCTGAAGAAACTTCTATTCTCCCTTTTTTAAGAACTCCATGCTGTAATCTCTTGGAAAAACCTCAACACGGATCTCATTCCGTAATCTGAGCGAGAAATATCTCGGAGAGGAAATATCTCTGAAACATGCTGTACGCGATCGTCTAGTATTAATGTCATTTCATTGGTTTGTCCATTTGCTTAAGAAATTTCTTACAACTATTAAAAATTGAGAAATACCTTAGAGTCTAGATGGTTGAGCATTTAGGCTCTAAGGTATAATTTGAAAAATACCTAAAGTTAAAGATAAGGATATCCGTTACCATATCTGACTCCTCAGGAATGGCAACGCATGGGGGGTATCATGACCGAAACGGTATACTCTGTTATGTCCATGGTCCGGTATACTCTGTTATGTCTGCTCATGTCTAGACGACGGTTACCACTGTCCATCAAGAGGGCCATCAGCTTGTCTGCCATTCTAAGTTGCATTAACAAAAAAAAAATATAAGAATCAATTGCTACTATTCGATTTCAGGTGGGAGATCCGCAGGAAGTGAACGCAATTGCTGAACTGTTTTGTAAAGACCGGAAGACTCCACTACTGCTGGGCTCGGTGAAATCTAACATGGGACACTCGGAGCCCGCATCGGGCTTATGCTCGATCGCCAAAGTATTGATCGCAATGGAAAAGGGTGTTATTCCTGGAAATCTGCACTACAAAACTCCTAACCCAGACATCCCAGCACTCAGTGATGGTCGAATTAAGGTACAGTTCTTTTTATTTTTTTTATACTACTGAAGTGGCAAACAAGCACACGGTGCACCTGATGATAAGCGGTTACTGTAGCCTATGAAGGCCTGCAATACCTGGGGTATACGCGCACGTTGCTGACTTTGAAGTAACCTCTTTACCCAGGGGAAAGGGATTGGTAAAAATGGTGTCTAACAGCCCCACTGCAAGCAATATACTCCATCGGGTTGATTTCCACGCGGTTCCATGCTTTTATCTTTACCTACCATTACTCACTGGTGTACCGCTAGCATATAACGATGGCGCCGGCAAGGTTGTATATATGTACTTTTTATTAAACAAGTGAAGTTTCATTTCGCAAAAAAGCGGCCTTTGATCGCGAGTAACTCAATGTAGAATTTACACTGGAAAAAAATTGTAAAATACAAGTAGATTCAAAATTGGTGAAAAAATGTATGAAAAAATACTGACTTCTCGTTTTTATATTGTCTAATAAAATGTAATGTGCAAATAACATTGTGCATACGAGGATATGCGAGTACATTGTACCGAGACGGTGTTCATACCGAAGGTGGTGGACCGCAATACGCCGTGGGAGGGCGGGCTGGTGGCGGTGAACTCGTTCGGGTTCGGCGGCGCGAACGCGCACGTGATCCTGGAGTCGGACGGCGCGGAGGCGGAGGCGGCGGCGGTGGTGGAGGCGGAGGCGGAGGTGGAGGCGGAGGCGGAGGTGGCGGCGGAGCGCGGCGCGGACGCGCTGCCGCGGCTGGTGCTGGCGTCGGGCCGCACCGAGCCCGCCGTGCGCGCGCTGCTGCAGCTGGCCGCCGAGCACGCCGCGCACGCGCCCCTGCACGCGCTGCTCGACGCCGTGCACGCGCGCGCCGTGCCCGGCCACGCGCACCGCGGCTACCGCGTGCTCGCCGACCCGCCCGTCGAGGAAATTATTGTAAGCGCCATCCTCCACTTTCTCTTTTGTGCTAAATGCTCAAGTCGAAAGAGAGTAACGAAGCACTCTAATAATTAAAATAGATTTATAAGAGGGTTTAGTTTTTATGAATAAGATCTAAAGGGCTTATTTATAAATTAGGTTAAAAAGGAAACTAAACTTTATTAAATGCGTAGACCTGTAGAAATACGATTAACAAAGTAGGCTAGCATTCTATTCGCTGCGCAGGAACTGGAGAGCGGCGAGCCGCGGCCGATCTGGTTCGTGTTCTCGGGCATGGGGTCGCAGTGGGCGGGCATGGCGCGCTCGCTGATGCACGTGCCGCCGTTCGCGGCCGCCGTGCAGCGTGCGGCTGCCGCTCTCCGGCCGCACGGCGTCGACCTGCTGCACGTGCTCACTGACGCGCCCGACACTGCCTTCGAGGACGTCGTCAACTCCTTCGTGTCCATCGCGGCCGTGCAAGTAGCACTTGTCGACGTGTTGCGCGCCGTCGACATTCGTCCCGACGGCATCGTCGGACACTCCGTCGGCGAACTAGGTCAGTTCACTGCGCCGAGAGATAAAATGTTTGGAAACATATCTGCGTCGAACGAGTTGCGATATATTGCCAATGCGTGTGTACAGGGTGCGCGTATGCAGACGAGACCCTAACGGCGGAGCAGGCCGTCTTGGCGGCGTACTGGCGTGGGCGCAGCATCGTGGAGGCTGCGCTGCCGCCGGGCGCGATGGCCGCTGTTGGCCTCACGTGGGAGCAGTGCGTCGAGCGTTGTCCGCCCGACGTGGTTCCCGCTTGCCACAACGCCGCCGACAGTGTTACAGTACGTACCAGTTATAGATTCGTAAAATTTACCTACATGATATTTTTTTTAACCACAATGACAAATAGTGTGCCATTTATCCTTTATCTTTTTTTTCTCAGTGTCCTCTACTCACATTTTATTGTTTGGAAGGGTTTGCTTAACGGAGATCGCATTTTGTATCATTTAAATTCACTGTATTTATTATTTTTGAAATGGTGCAATAAAAAATAAAATGATGGAAAATTCAGGAGTTTAATTGTTAGTCTTGAATTTCACATAAATAAATAAATGACAGATTTTTTTTAATATGTAATTATTTATATGTATACGTGTGTCAATAGGTATCTGGTCCAGTTCCGTCAATAGAGAAGTTTGTGGCCGAGTTGTCAGCGGCGGGAACATTCGCGCGCCGCGTGAACAGTAGCGGCGTAGCGTTCCACAGCAAGTACATCGCGGCGGCCGCGCCGCTGCTTCGCGATCGCCTACGGACCGTCATACCCGATCCCAAGCCGCGCTCGTCGCGCTGGGTCTCCTCCTCGCTTCCCAAAGATCAGTGGAACTCGGAGATCGGTTAGTGCGTTTTCTGATTTCACCGCATAAAAAGTGCGCGCGAGGGGAGCGTGGCGGGCGACGTAGAGTGACCGCGGACCGATCGCGTTGCAGCGAAGCTGAGCGACGCGGAGTACCACGTGAACAACCTGCTGTCGCCGGTGCGGTTCGCGGAGGCGCTGGCGGCGGTGCCGGCGCGCGCGCTGGTGGTGGAGGTGGCGCCGCACGCGCTGCTGCAGGCGGTGCTGCGGCGCGCGCTGCCCGCGGCCGCCGCGCACGTGCCGCTCGTGCGCCGCGACCGGCCCGAGCCGCGCGTGCAGCTGCTGGCCGCGCTGGGCCGGCTGTTCGCGGCGGGCGCGCAGCCGGCGGCGGGCCGGCTGTACCCCGCGGCGGCGTGGCCGGTGCCGCGCGGCACGCCGGGGCTGGCGGCGCGCGTGCGCTGGGACCACTCCGTGCAGTGGAGCGTGGCGCACTTCGGCGGCGCCGCGCGCTCCGGCGAGCACGTCGTCGAGCTCGACCTCGCGCGCGCGCCCGACGCCTACCTCGCCGGCCACCGCATCGACGGCCGCGTGCTCTTCCCTGCCACTGGATACATTGTGAGTTTTTGCTATATCTACTCGATTTTAAAGGTAGCAACCTTGTGCTTTACGAATTAATATTCACGAAAACCTTTAAAGGGCCATAAATCTTTAGTGAAATCGAAGAAGGAAAATCGTCAGTTAATAATTCAAAAACGACAATAAATTTTATGGCTCCAGTGCTAATAAGATTTTTTGTTGCGACACTTCCTTAATGTTCGTTCACACAGATCACATCGAGCCGAACGGAACAACAGATGTTGATCGCGTTTAAAATAGTATTTTGGATCATTGACGATTTATTTATTTATTTATTTTTTTTATTTTTTTTTTCTTTTTTTTTTATATGGAAATGTTCGAAAGTCCACTTAACAGGTTTTATATAAAACAGTAAGAGGTCGAAACTCTGCTAGCGTACTCTCCCACTCCGTGTGTGTCGACGTGACACCGAAGAAGACGACACTCTGGGCCGGTCTGTGTGAACGGACGCTTAAAATTGTGCTAATAATTTCGATTTCGCCCTGCCTATAGCCACTAATCCACAGTGAATTAATTATGGTACATGTAAAATTTGAATAATTAATGACAGTAGAGTTCAAGTCTTGTGTTTCCCCGGTTGACGGTAATAGCAATCTTACATGTAACATTGCAGAATTTTGTAACGAGGTGTGAATTGTCGCCTAGACTCTAATATTATCTTATACTTGTAACAATCAACATGTTTATATGATGTTTGTGAAGATATATTTTTCACTTTCAGACTCTCGTGTGGCGAACCATGGCCAAACTACACAATAAAAAATTCGAAGAAACCCCTGTAGTCCTCGAAGACTTACAGCTTAGGCGAGCCACTATAATGTCACAAGACGCCCCCGTTCGTTTCTTGGTGAACATTCTGGACGGCACTGGCGAGTTCGAATTGAGCGAAGGAGGCAGCGTGGTCGTCACGGGTAAAGTGCGCATCGCTGAGGAGCCGGCCGCCGAGCGACTCGTCCTGCCGCCCGTCTCCGCCGCCGATGAACCGGACTTGCTTCCTCTCGTTACCGACGACATCTACAAAGAATTACGACTCCGTGGATACAATTACAGTGGAGTATTCCGCGGAATACGCAGCTCCGACCCGAGGGGTACGAGAGGTGAACTCGAATGGAACGGTAACTGGATATCTTTTATGGACACGATGCTTCAGTTCAGTCTCATCGGTGCGAACACGCGGGAACTATATCTCCCGACTCGTATACAGCGCGTGTCGATCGACCCCGCAGCGCACCTGGCCGCCGGCGCCGGCGTCGACGTGCTGCCGGTGCGGCGCGAGCCCGATGTCGACGTCGTTCTCTGCGGTGGCCTGGAGTTCCGGGGAGTCAAGACCAGCCTCGCGCCGCGCCGAACCAATGTACAGTCCCCGCCGAAGCTGGAGAAATATGTATTCGTGCCGTACGACAACTCGAAAATTATCACCGAGGACGCGTCGCGGTCTAAGCGGGACGCGCTCACCGTTAGCTTACAGCTGGTGCTGGAGAACGCGGGCACGCTGCGCCTGAAAGTGACCGAGGCGGCGCTGGGCCGGCCCGCGGACGCGCTGCTGGCGCCGCTCGCGCTGCAAGTGCTGGAGACCGAGCCGCAGGTGCGGGTCGACGTCAGCCTGGCCGCCGGCACCGCGGCCGCCTCCTACACGGCGGCCGTTCAACATCTGGGTATAAAGGTAAAATTAATAAGTAATCTTAATGGTTTCTTAGTGCCCTCTGCTGATCTCTCGCGGAACATCACGAGGTGCGCCTGCGCCTGCCCGAGCTGCGCGAGTAATTTAGAGCTTTCTTATGCGCCTAGTATCTAGTAGTAGTCGGTGCAAACGATTACGACAATATTTGAAAATGCAGGTGACTACGAGGGACGCGAGCGAGACGGCGCCCGACAGCGGGTGCCACCTGGTGCTGGCGAGCGGCGTGGCAGCGCGCGAGGACGGCGGCGCGACGCTGGGCCGGCTGGCCGAGGCGCTCTGCGAGGGCGGCATGGTGCTGCTGGAAGAGGCGCCCGCGGCGCTGGGCGGCGCGGCGGCGGAGCGGGCCGGGCTGGAGCCCGTGTCGCGGCAGGCGGCCGCCGGGCACGAGTACGTGCTGCTGCGGCGGCGCGCGGCGGCCGCCGAGCTGGCGGTGGTGGAGCTGGGCGCGGAGCGCTCGTTCGGCTGGGTGGCGCGGCTGCGCGCGGCGCTGCGGCGCGCGGAGGCCGCGGAGGCCGCGGAGGCCGCGGGCGCGGCGCTGCGCGTGGCGGCGGTGTCGCGCGCGGCGGCCGGCGGCGCGCTGGGGCTGGCCGCGTGCCTGCGCGCCGAGCCGGGCGGCCGCGCGCTGCGCGTCTTCCACCTGCCCGGCGAGCGCGAGCCCTTCTCGCCCGCCGCGCCCGCGTACGCGGCGCAGCTGCGCAAGGACTTGGCCGTCAACGTGCTGCGCGACGGCGTCTGGGGATCCTACAGGCATCTGCTGCTCGACGACCTCGCCGATGCTCAGCTGCAGGTGCTCACCTTTTTTTTTTACCATGAAATGTGGCAAGTAAACATGCAGCCCATCTGATGGCAAACTGTCACTGCAACCTGTGAACGCCTGTGACATTCCCAGTACATGATGCCGCTGCCCCCGAAAGTCGGAAGGCGTGTCGTTTCGTACCAGGATGTCGGTACGCCTGGACGTAAACTTATACCACCTAGTACCGATTTAAAGTCCTCGGTAGACGACGCAGGTACTGACAATATAAAATCCAAGTACCAGGTGCGTGAGTACCAACTATCTTGACGGGGGAAGAAAGGGATTGTTAGTAATGGGGAGGTTAGACCCCATTGCTATCAATATACCCTATCAAGTCGACCTCCACGCGGTTTCTCCTAAAAACAATCGTGACTAATTTATTGTTAAATTCGTCACGATGACCTAACTAACCTGCTTTCATTCTCATCTATCATCACACACTGGTGCTCCGCCAGCGTATACCGATAGCGTGGGCGGGTATATCATTCCATTATCATTCATTAAAAAAAAACTATCTCGACAAGCTCGACCGCACGACAACGCGACATGTCAGAAAAAAATAAATTATCCGGAAGCTTTCAATGAAAACGCTTTGAGATATAACAAGTAATGTATGGTAGAATTGTCTATCAAAATTTAGGTACTGTGTAATTTAAATACATTACCTAATTTTTTTTCATTCTGTAATTCTATACAACGTAAACTATTTGTACCCATCAGTTATCACTGTAAAAACACACTGTTATAATTTTTCACAGAAAATGTGTCGAAACTACGAATTCACAATTTATGCTACACTTGAGAGCAATGAATGCGGGTCACCTAAAGAAACCTATAAATCTTTGAAACTAAGAATGCTAGCTTAATAAAATAAACGATGTTTAATACACAATATAATACCCCTTAAACGAAAGTAATAAAATTTATAAGTCACTACATTCTATTTATTAAAAATTACATAAAGAAAAAGAATGAAACAAAAATAGGAAACATAATATTTTTGTACAACAATATGATTTTCTTGAATTTTAATACTTTGTATTGCCTTGTCGTGCTTCCATTACTGCGTTTACGCGGCGTGTGTTTGGCATGCTGTACACCAAGTTTCTAGTTACGGTTGGCTAGTCGCTCAGCCACTATTTCTTAAAATTAAACAAAATTTTATTTAATTATATTTCAAAAACCTAGTAAACTATTTTTCTATACTATTCTTGCTGTTTACGTGCAGTTGTCCGGTACACCTAGTGTTACAAGCGTCCATAGCGTTTCCGACCCTGAACAAACCTTAACATACCCTTTTTATTTTATTATATATATATATATATATATATATATATATATATATATATATATATATATATATATATATATAATTTTTTTTTAAATCCCCATACTGTATAATCTCTATGGAAAATCTTGGCAGGAAGCTCATTCCATAGCCTGAGCGTTCGCGGGAGAAAATTCCTTTCACCTCTGTTTTCACCTTCAATGAATCCAGTAGGTATTCCTTGACGGCTCTATTAGGACTCATCCCGACGTTATGCTGTCGCAGGTGGAGCACGCGTACGTAAACACTTTGACTCGCGGCGACTTGTCATCGCTGCGGTGGATCGAGAGTCCGCTGAGATTTGCGAGCGAGATGCAGTGGCCGCCGCACACGGACCTGTGCCGCGTTTACTACGCACCGCTCAACTTCCGCGACATCATGTTGGCCACCGGCAAGCTGCCGCCGGACGCGCTACCGGGCAACCTCGCCGGACAGGTATCGCGGCTGATCTTTACACAACTGAACTTTGTTGCGGGGAGACGAGAGGGATACTGATAGAAACACCGTGTCGGTGCAGGAGTGTATCCTGGGGCTCGAGTTCAGCGGGCGGTCGTCGAGCGGCGCGCGCGTGATGGGCATGGTGGCGGCGCGCGGGCTCGCGACCAGCGTGGTGGCCGACAAGGGGTTCCTGTGGGAGGTGCCTGCGGCGTGGTCGCTAGAGCAGGCGGCGACGGTGCCGGTGGCGTACGCGACGGCGTACTACGCGCTGGCGGTACGCGGGCGCATGCGGCGAGGCGAGGCAGTGCTGGTGCACGCGGGCACCGGCGGCGTGGGGCAGGCCGCCATCGCGATCGCGTTACACGCCGGCTGCACCGTGTTCGCAACCGTGGGCACGGCCGAAAAGCGCGCCTTCCTACGCGAGCGCTTCCCGGCGCTGGACGACGCCAACATCGGCTGCTCGCGCGATACCTCCTTCGAGCAGATGGTGATGCGACGCACGCGCGGCCGCGGCGTCGACCTCGTGCTCAACTCGCTCGCCGCCGACAAGCTGCTCGCCTCGGTGCGCTGCTTGGCTGAGGGCGGCCGCTTCCTGGAGATCGGCAAGCTCGATCTTTCTAACAACACTTCTCTCGTTAGTATATAACTATATACACTTATTCTATTATGTGCCGATTTGAAAAATTTTGTACACCTATTCTATCGATGAGTGAGTAATGAAATTTTAAATATCAGCATTGCTTCATCTTCCAGGGTATGTCGATCTTCTTGAAGAACACGACATTTCACGGCATCCTTCTGGATGCGTTGTTCGATGCGCATGGCGACGACGCGGATAAGGCGGCGGTAGTGCGCTGTATGGCGGAGGGTATCGCCACCGGCGCCGTCCGCCCGCTGCCTGCCACCGTCTACGCCGACCACCAGCTCGAGCAGGCCTTCCGGTATATATGCACATAAATAATTTTTGAATTTATGTTTTTGTACCCTAATTGTAGCTATTTAAATGACCTGATATACCTGAACATATCCAGATACATGGCGACCGGCAAGCACATCGGAAAAGTGTTGTTGCGCGTACGCGAAGAGGAGACTGGGTCGGCGCAGCCCGCTACCAAGCTGATATCCGCTATCCCGCGCACCTACATGCACCCCGCCAAGAGCTACGTGTTAGTGGGTAAGTGGCGTGCGAGACGCCGTCGAGAGTGCTCGACAATGGACAGCGATAAGTTCTCCGAGTGATGAGAGTCGCATGTGGTGTGCAGGTGGCCTCGGCGGGTTCGGGCTCGAGCTGGCGCAGTGGCTGGTGGTGCGCGGCGCCACGCGGCTCGTGTTGAACTCGCGCAGCGGCGTCCGCACCGGCTACCAGAGCATGTGCATCCGCAGGTAGCGTGCGGCGGGCAGCGGGCAGCGGGCAGCGGGCGGTGTGAGTAGTGCGCGAGCCAGCGACGGGCACTGAGCCGGCGGTGTGTGCAGGTGGCGCGAGGCCGGCGTGGCGGTGCTGGTGTCGCAGGCGGACGCGACCGGCGCCGGCGGCGCGCGCGCGCTGCTGCGCGAGGCGGCCGCGCTGGGGCCCGTCGGCGGCGTGTTCAACCTGGCCGCCGTGCTGCGCGACGCCTTCCTCGAGAACCTCACGGCCGCGGACTTCGAGGCGGTCGCGAAGGCGAAAGTGGACGGTGAGCGTGGCGAGGCTGCGGCTGTGCGCGTGCGCGGCGCGAGCCCGCGGGACGAGTGTGTGCGTACTGTGTGCGTGTGCGGTTGTTGCAGGCACGCAGGCGCTGGACGCGGCGACGCGCGAGCTGGCGCCGCAGCTGGACTACTTCGTGGCGTTCTCGTCGGTGTCGTGCGGGCGCGGCAACCCCGGCCAGAGCAACTACGGCTACGCCAACTCCGCCATGGAGCGCGTCGTCGAGCGGCGCCAGGCCGACGGGCTGCCCGGGCTCGCCGTGCAGTGGGGCGCCATCGGTACGTTTCCGTCGACCTTCACAGTTGTCAGCTGCTAGTGCAGGCTTACTTCGCAACATCGAGTCAATAATCGATTCGGTGATGGCTTGCTGTAGTGTATTTTTTTTTTTTTTTTTTTTAATTATTTATCGTGCTGTAAATTTTATAATGGACATTAGGGCCCGACTCCATGCTTGCAGTTTTACTTGAATAAAATATTTACTTATTCATGCAAATTTGCTTATATTTCGAACTCGATGTCGGTCGGTGAGGTACTGAGCGGCGGCGAGTGATTCTTCTCGGTCGCAGGCGAGGTGGGGCTGATCGTGGACACGATGGGCGGCGACGAGACGGTCGTGGGCGGCACGGTGCCGCAGCGCGTGGCCTCGTGCATGGAGGCGCTGGGGACGCTGCTGGCGCAGCCGCACGCCGTCGCCGCCAGTATGGTGCTGGCGGACAAGCGCCGCGGACCCGTTGCGCCCACGCAAGACGTCGTGCACGTCGTCGCCAACATCCTCGGTGCGTCCCGGGCGCCAGCCGCCGCCGCATGTCATTTTAGCGAGTAAAAATAGGAGAATTACTAGTCGAACTCATTCGTCGTTCGCAGGAATCAAGGATCCGAGCCGGACATCGCCCACGGTGAGCCTCGCCGAGCTCGGAATGGATTCACTGATGGGAGCCGAAATAAAGCAGACGCTCGAGCGCAGTTACGACCTGGTGCTCGGCGTGCAGGAGATTCGCTCGCTCACCTTCGATAAACTCCGCGAATTGACCGGCGAGGGCGGCGGCGCGGACGCTGCGGCCCAGCCGACGGCCGCCGCGCCGCGGCCGGGCGAGCTGGTGCAGGTGGCGACGCTGCGCGAGCTGGTGCCGACGCAGACGCTGGTGGAGCTGCCGTCGGCGGGCGGCGCGGGCGGCGCGGGCGGCGGGCGCTGCGTGTTCATGGTGCACCCGCTGGAGGGCGCGGCGGACGCGCTGCAGCCGCTGGCGGCGCGCGTGCGCGGCGGCGTGCGCGCGCTGCAGTGCGCGGCCGACGCGCCGCTGGCCGCGCTGCCGGCGCTGGCGCGCCACTACGTGCAGCACGTGCGCGCGGCGCAGCCGCAGCCGCCCTACGTGCTGCTCGGCTACTCCTTCGGCGCTAGCGTCGCCTTCGAGATGACGCTGCAGCTCGAGGAGGTACGCGACCGCGTTCACGGCTTTTTTTTTTTTTTTTTTTTTTTTTTTTTTTTTTTTTTCTTCATCAGTCTGTTGATTGATGGAACTATTATATGGACCGTACCCTTTAATCTCCCTGTCAATCTAGACCAATTTAAGGCAAATATTAATAGGCTATTTATGGTCTCGCATGTTCCGTCAGAGACCACATCTTCATTTTTTTTTTTTTTTTTTTTTTTTTTTTCATCAGGTGAAATCGTAATCAATCATAGAATACAATTAACATATTTTATAAATAATTATTAATATTATAACTGCAGATGGGCTGCGAAGTACACCTGATACTGGTAGACGGCTCGCCTGCATACGTAGCCAAGCACACCTCTCTCGGAAAAACGAAGAACGTGCCGCGCACGAACGCGAGCGATGAAGCCGACGCGCTCGCCGCGTTCGCGCAGCTCTTCACAGCGGAGGTGGACGGCGCCAAGGTAGCGTATCGTACTGACTACGGCCGCTCGGCGCCCGAGCTCGAGCTCGAGCCCGGACGGAGCGTGAGACGTATGCGTGTGTCCGCAGCTGGCGGCTGAGCTGGTGCAGCTGGCGTCCCTGGAGGAGCGTGTGCGGCGCGTGGCCGAGCTGCTGGCGGCCGCCACGTCGCACGCCACCGCCGAGTTGGCGCCGGCCGCCGCTGCCTTCTATGGCCGGCTGGCCATGGCGGACGCGTACCGGCCCGGCGGCCGCGTGCGTGCGCCCGTCACGCTGTTCCGCGCGCGTGACAACTACGTCACGCTCGACGACCACTACGGGCTGCGCGAGCTGTGCGCCGGCCCGCTTGCCGCGCACCAGCTGCCCGCCGACCACCGCTCCATCCTCGCGGGCGAGCCGGCGCAAGCCATCGCCGACCACGTCAGCGCCACGCTGCAGCGGCTCGCTGCTGACCAGTAGTGGTCCGCCGCCGCGGCGTCGCGCGGTCGCCGCCGCCGCCGGCGCCGCCACCGGCGCGGGCGCACGTAGCTAGCACTATATATGAAGAGTGATTTGCATCCCGGTCGAGAACCAAGTTGTATACGGTGTATGAAGTGCAAGCGAGTGATGCTCTTTATTGCCATCTTTATTAAGTGTATTCCACGATAAAAATACTAAGATCCAGTTTATACGTATTGTATTGCCTAGTATGTACCTAGAGGTCGTTATGAAACCATAACCTTAACATAATATATAAGAGTAAGGATAGCATCTATTCGCAATTAATACAATCGACGACAGCTGTTATCCAATTTTAAATATAATTGTCCGGTTTTAATATTAATAGGGTTTATCTGATCTTGACACTTTATTGAATGGAATGAAATAAAATATTTACCCCACTTAAACTTACGACTAACTACTGACATTAGATTTTGCAATGATAAACGTGTGTCAAAACATAATCAATAATAATAAATATGTACTAAATGTAAACGAAAGCTTAAATGTGAGTATATAATATCGGTATAAAAAAAAAAAACTACTGGGTATCTTTGCTAGGTCATTAAGTAAATACGAACAACGCCATCTAGAATCTATTTTTATAACTAAAGATAATTATAATTTTCTTGTACATTAGGTATTTATTTATGTATGTATCTGCCTATTTTACACATAATATTATAATTAATGTACTGAAAACTAATTAGACACCGACATAATAACATATCGTTGTCATGTACCATAAAGGTGACGATATGTGGATATATGTATAATAAATAGATATCATAATAAATATAAGCATACACAAATTTTCTGAATAATCTTCTGGTACCAATAGTCCATTTGTTTATAATTTTGTGACAAATTATTATCTAGCAAATCTCTACTGAGTATCGCGGGCACGTTAGTTTAATAAGATTGGACATTGATGTAGATATAATTAGTTACTATGATTTAATATTCGGTAGAGCGTAGCTCATTAGCATCGTTGTGATATTATACCTACTACAATCGCTGGAAGCGGCGCGTATTGTACATGTACATGATTGACGTATTGTGTGTATGCGTGTTGTTTGTGTGAGTATACATATATTGTAACCACAGCTGCTACAGCTGACTGCGGGTGCGCGTATGTACGACGTACGACTCCACTTGACGTCGATAACTTTATGTAAATAGCTGTAACATGTTACTAGACGTTAATTCCGCGTATGACTGTTGTGGTACCTATGTAATTTATTTTGTTATGCATATTGGCCGAGCTGACAGGCGACAGCGCATTGTGATTAAAAGTGCATTATTTTCTAAAACGTTATTTCATTGTATCCCTTATATTCCTATTTATGCAACTTATTTACTGATTTGACCAATTATGCTTTGTCATATACTGTAGTCAAATCTTGCAAGGCAAACCTTGGCAAAGAGCTCATTTAGGATGTATTCCTTGTCGATGGCGAGCGAAACGATGATAAAGGTGGTTGTAAATATATATCATTTCAAACAATTGCTCAAAACACAATCAATACAAGCGGCAGAACACACAAAGAGAAGCAGTCTCGCCTTCGACTTGTGTCGTATAAGCGTGTTACAAGCGTCAAAGCTTTGAGGTATAACTTAAAGGCTCAATATGGCCTATGTCGAGAGTCGTATTGACTCGAACCTATTGGAATCAACATGTCCACGTGATTTTCAGTAAAATCATCAATCATCTGCTCCTTCAAGAGTCGTTTAGATTTAGACAAAGCTGTTATCGCTAATGGGGATCAGAGTTCGCTAGAGGGTGCCGCACAGTAAACATTGGAACCACAATTTATTTCTTTTTTATTTATTTTTTTTTATTTATTTATTTATTAATTTTTTTCATTATTATTATTATTATTTTTTATTTGGTAAAATTATCCCTATTCTTTTTTTTTTTTTAAAAGGTGACGCTGAGGACCCTTCTAAGGGGTCCATGAAATGTATAAGTGTATTTTGTGATCTTATCAAAGCTTTTGATTGTTTAAGGCACGACATAATATTGAGCAAATTACAAACTATGGTTATTTTTTTTTTTTTAATTTTATTGACACATAAAACAGATTACAACCATAAGAAACTTAAGTAATAATTACATTTTGATTCAGCTAGGTAATAATCCGATTATATTATGTGCACAGCTTGAGTAATAAATAAAAGTTTTATATTAAATTTTATATGAACAATATTACAGTTATAACTTAATACACTTTAAATAGATCGAGAGTTATGAAAACTAATTAAAAATGAATATTACTTAGAGAGCAAAAATACTGTGTGCTATTCTTAGGACTACCGTCGGAAAAAAAAAAAAAAAAAAAAAGAAACTACGATTACTATGGATTAATTGATTAATTTAAGCTAACCTAAGATAAGATTAATTGATTGGATGGATTATTATATGGATTACTATGGATGTGAACATAAATCCCTAAAAATGATACAGTCACACTTAAATAGTAGGACACAAGTAGTAGCATAAAATGATAATACTATATCCCACATACATAATATTAATATAGGCATTCCTCAAGGTTCCGTACTTGCACTTACTCTTTCTTATTTATTTATTTAACTCTTTATTGCACCATAAATAAAAAAAAATAATATACAATGACAAGTGAATAATTCAAATGAAATACAGTAACATAAATACAGATTGAAATATACACATAAAGGTACAAAAGGCGGTCTTATCGCTAGGGCATTCTCTTATAGGGCAATCTCTTACAGACAACCTTTAGTTAAAGGGAACAGATAGAAAAGGGCAAGTGGCGCAAGAGTGAATTAATAATTTTCGTGCATAAAATACAAAAACATGTAATGCACAAAATATCAAATACTTATAATTTATTAAACTACTTACTATAACAATATATAATTATGTAAATATTTATTTAAATTTCTGTCTTGCACTACTACTGCCCACTCACTACTTCCTATGCCACTGCGTTAGGTTGACTGGAAGAAATCTCTTTTAGAGATAAGTTCGCCTTTGCTAACATTGTTGTTAACTTATTGTTGTTACTCTATGTTTTAGTGCAATAAAGAATATATATAATATATATATATATATATATATATATATATATATATATATATACACACACACACACACATATATATATATATATATATATATATATATATATATATATATATATAACATATATATATATATACTCCACACACACACACATATTTGCTGTATATATATACCTTTAATTATTATTATTATATATTATTTAAATATATATTGTATTTAACATCTCCCTTTTTATGGGGGTAAATGTTCAACCATGCGGGCCTTAGCCAAGCAATGGTTGACTTTAAATTATATATGAGGATGATGACAATGATGAGGAAAGAAATTTTCTGACTATGCGGCAGGTATTGAGGATGACCGCTTTCTGTAGCAAATCTATTGTATAGGTAGGAATTTGTAACATATCTAAATGCTTGTGAAGATTTTTTTTTTTTTTTTTTTTGGGTACGATTCCTGTAGACGATAGTACTATGGGTATTATGTGGATGGTGTGCGCTTTCCATTGCTTCTTTATCTCTATTGCTAAGTCTGTATATTTTGATAGTTTTTTTTTTTTTTTTTTTTTTTTTTTTTTCATTAATAGTGCTTTGTATATTGTGTGTGTTCGGAATAGCTATGTCAACTATGTATACTACATTATTGTCTTTATCATGTATAGTTATATCGGGTCTATTGAAATGAATGGTTTTATCGGTAATGATGGTTCTATCCCAGTATAGTTTACAGTGTGCATTCTCAAGTACGTTGGTTGGGTTGTATTTATAATATGGAACTTTATTTTCTATGAATTTATATTTATGTGCTATATATTGATGTATAATAGAAGCGACTTGATCGTGACGATGTTTGTAATCTGTTTGTACTAGTGTCTTGCAAGCACCTGTAATATGTTGGATAGTTTCGGAAGCACTATTACAGTGTCGACATGAGTCACTAAGCAAATTGCGGTCCTTTATTATGTGTTTTGTATAGTTTCTGGTAGCTATTGTCTGGTCTTGTATTGCTACCATAAATGCTTCTGTCTCTGGGAAGAGTTCGCCGCGTTTCAGCCATTTGTTCGATGCATTCTTATCGACATATGGTTGGCAAAGGTCCGCTCTGTGTCTTCCGTGAAGAGACTTTTTGCTCCAGGTTTCTATTTTTTGTTGTTTAGTCGTTATTTGTTCATTATATTGGGCACTGTTGTCATGTAAATTAAGAGGTGTAAATCGTTTGTCTATTTTTATTGCATGTGCATATAGTGATGATTGTTCAGATTTATTATGAAAATATTTTCTTAGTGACTGTATCTGCTTATTATGAAGATTTTGGATATCAATGAGGCCTCTTCCACCTTCTTGGCGCAGTAATGTAAGTCTTTGTGTACATGATTTCGGGTGATGTTTTCTATTTTGTGTCATGTGTGTATTTATGATACGTTGTAATTTTTTTAAATCTGTTTGGGACCATTTAATTATTCCAAATGAATACATGAGAACGGAGATAACATATGTATTAATTGCTTTAACTGTATTTCGTGAATTCAAATGAGATTTCAGTATTCGGTTTAATCTATACTTTAGTTTTTTTGTTAAAGTATCTTTGATTTCTTTTTGTCGTATTTGTTTAAACTGTAGTATGCCTAAGTATTTGTATGGATTGTGTTCATCTAAAGATTCGATATGATTTCCATCTTCAAGAGAATATGTATTTTGTTCTACAGTGCCTTTATTTATTGAATGAATTTTGCATTTATCTATTCCAAATTGCATATGTATGTCCTGAGAAAATTTCTGGGTAATATCTGCTAACGTGAATAATTCTGTTTTAGCGGATCCATAAAGTTTTATATCATCTATGTAGAGCAAGTGAGATAATGTTATATGAGTCGTAAGATGAAATCCTTGATTTGTACTATTTAAGAGTTCAGATAGTGGATTCAGGGCTATACAGAACCACAAAGGACTCAGAGCGTCTCCTTGAAATATACCCCTTTGAATATGAATCGGTTCAGTAGCTAATGTGGAATTAGGTTGATTAATTTTAAGCGTTGTTTGCCAGTTTTGCATGATTGATTTCAAAAAGTTTACTATTGTTGGGTTAATATTGTAATGTTCTAGAACTTGGATAAGCCAGCTATGTGGGACCGAGTCAAAAGCCTTTCGGTAATCGATATACATCGTGTGTATATTTTTTTTTTTTTTTTTTTTTTTTTTTTTTTTTTTTTTTTTTTTTTTTTTTTTTTTTTTTTTTTTTTTTTTTTTTTTTTTTTTTTTGGCTTCTTTCATTACTATTGCGTCTACTGTTAATTGCTCTTTGCAACCTTGACTTTTCTTTCTACACCCTTTTTGTTCTTCTGCTAATATTTTATTGTTTATCAGATAGCTATATATAGTTTCACTTAGGCATGCTGTTAATATTTTATAAAATGTTTGGAGGCAGGTTATAGGCCGGTATTTAGCTGGATTTTTGGTGTCAGTATCTTTAGGAATCATATACGTTACTCCTTGTGTTAGGTAAGTAGGCATTGAAATTGGTGATAGAATGAATTGGTTAATGTGATTGTATAATAAGGGGTGAGTGCTAGTAAATTTTTTGTACCAGAAGTTATGGATGTTGTCTGTGCCTGGTGACTTCCAATTATGGGTTCGATTAATAACACGTGTGAATATTTCAGGAGTTATACAATTGAATGGCATTTCTGAAGTAGTTTTCTTTAAATTTTGAATCCATTGAGCATCGAGGTTGTGCTTGATAGGGTTTTGCCATATATTTGACCAATATGCGTGTAGTTCTTGTGAATCAGGCATGTCATTAACTGGTAAATTTTGTGGTTCCATATTTCTATAAAATATTCTCTCATTGTTTGTAAATTGATTGTTTTGTGTTTTTCGCATTGTGCATGCCAAATATCTCTTCAGCCTATTAGCAGTTGCACTAAGCTTTTGTTTTAACGTATCAAGAAATTGTTCCGGAGTGCTATTCCTGTTTTCATGTTGTGAGTGTATAACATGTCTTGTTTCAATATCCTTTACTGATTTTATTATGTGAGGACTATGATTACCATTGATGAATTGTGTTAGTCTTCCAATGTCACCTCTTAATTTTTCTATTTTCTGTTCGATCCTTCTTTGCCACCGTGGTTTCTCTTGCGATTTTCTTTTGTATGTTCCTTCCATATATATTTTACAACCATTACAAGTTGCTGTTGTGAATGCTGCACAGTATATTATTGTCTGCAATGTGATGAAATCTTGATCTGCTGTT